GTATTTAATAACAAATAGAATAAAATAATAAAAAAATGTAGTTGCACAACAAGAACATATGTCCTAATTGTGCTAAGAAAGCCTGTCAGCCCTTAATTGGGCTAGAGTCCCCTCTTGTAGCAGGATCCCGATTTTCAAAAGTTCCAATGGCCTCCAGTAATAATCTGCTTGAAGGTGGATGAGATCCAAAGATACTAGGGACACTGGCCGACTTGTAGCTGCTCGACGCGTTTCGTCCGATCGACTTTTTCAAGAGCTGTGTGTTTCTGTTCTTCTTCCGGCTTTTTAAATGATCAGGTTCGCGCGGCTTTCAGTGTTGCGCGCATGCGCATTACGGTAAAACTTTACCGCGCATGCTCACACATCCAGCTTGAAACGCAAAACCAACTTTATTGATACTTTGCGCCGACAAAACACATTTCCGTACCGGACCACTTGGTCTTACGGAATAATATGTGGGCACTTCAAGCTTTTGTTCATCATACATAGTTGATCTTCATACATAAAATACTGATGAACCATCTTTTAAAAGGCAAAGGTAAAAAGCATTTTAAGTGCATCACATATAGAGTTCTACTATTAGAAGTGGGAAATTAAGCATACTGTAGACAGAAACAAACATATTATGAGAAACATATTATAAAAAATATATGTAATAAAAACATCATGTTACATTTTATACAGTGTTACAATACTTTATACAAAACTGATATTTACATATAACAAACTGTATATATAACTAATAATCATTTTATTTTATTCGGATGAGAGACCTGGCGAAGACATCATTAGGTTCTATTAGAATCATTCATAAATAAATGAGAGATCATTTCATTGGAAGTTAATTCATTAAAAAGTTATTGATAAAAAATTGTAATTATTAATAAAATACAAATCGTGCAAATTAATGCCAATTCTATGGAAACAAAAATTATAATATAGTGATAAAACTACCACTTACTGAAAAGGACTTTCTAAAAACCAAATTATTTATAAAAATATTTGTAAAAAAATTGATTCATAAAAGATTAATTCATAAAAAATTAATTAATTTATAAAAAATTAAAATTAAAAACTCTTATAAATAATTTATAAGAATCAATCCATAAACACCAATAAATCTAAATCAACATTTAATCCTCTTGGAAAAGTGGTTTTGAGTCTATGGATCCACTCTGTTTCTTTCATGGCTAGCGCTTTTTCTGTGTCGCCCCCTCTCCAATGTGGAATTATCGTATCTATCCCTATACATCTAAAATCCTGGAAACTAAAATGGGTGCAATTTATACAATGTTTGGGAACACTATGTTTTATATTCCCTCTTTTTATCCCATTAAAGTGTTCCAAGATTCTAATGTGGAGTTTTCTTATTGTACGACCCACATATTGTATGCCACATTTACATTCAAGTAGATAAATTACATTTTTTGTCTGACAATTTATAAAGTTTTTTATTTTAAAAACTTCTTTAGTGGCAGTGCAGGTAAATTCTGTTGTTTTCTGTTTTTGGAATTTGCATGTACTGCACTGCCCACATTTAAAAAAACCTTTTGGTTTTTCTTTAAGAAAATTGCCCGTTGTGGCTTCTTCTTTAGTGGGTTTGACACGGGGTAGAGCGCTTGGAGCTAAAATAGATTTAAAATTCTGGGTCTTTTTGTAAATAATTTGGGGTTTACTTGGTAAAATATCCTTTAAAAGTTGATCTTGTTTTAAAATGGGCCAAAATTTCTTCATAGTTTTCTCTATAAGGTGAGCTTTATTGTTGTATCTGGTTAAAAAGGAGATGCTATAATCCTTCTTGTTTTTCTTATATACCTTTTTATCTTTTAAAAGTTTATTTCTATCTTTGTCTTCTATCTGTTTTTCTGAATTGATCAAAAGTTGAGATGGATAATGTCTTTTTTCAAATTTTTTGTTTAACATTTTAACTTGTTCTTTAAAATCACTTTTGTTAGTACAGTTTCTAAGGAGTCTCGTTTGTTGTCCCTTCGGTATATTATTCAGCCAATTGGGGTGGTGACAGCTAGAATATTCTATAAAGCTGTTCCCATCCGTTGGTTTAAAAAAAGTTTTATTACAAACTACTCCTGATGATACAAAGAAAGAAAGATCTAAAAAATTAATTAATACTCTCCGTCTGAATTTCAGCCGTAAAAAGCAATCCATAAGTATTATGGTTGATATATAATAAAAATTCTTCTAAAAGAGACCTATCCCCTTCCCAAATAATAAGGACATCATCAATATATCTTCTCCAGAGCACCAGGTTCGCACCGTATGGATTGTTGTTCCAAATTTTCTTCGCTTCCCAATCCGCCACAAAGATATTGGCATAACTAGGTGCGAACCTGGTGCCCATTGCAGTTCCACAAGTTTGGAGGTAATATGTACCTTCAAACCAAAAGAAATTGTGAAAGAGGATAAAACGAATGATATCTAAAATTAAGGTTGCTTGTGCTTCATGCATATTTATATCCTTTCCTAAAATTTCCCTAATGGCCTCAATACCTTTCTCATGATCGATCGACGTATACAGAGATGAAACGTCTACCGTGGCCCAAATATAGTTCTCTTTCCACGTCATACCTTCTACCTCTACAATAATTTGATTTGAATCTTTAATGTATGAGGGAGCTTTTGGAACATATTTCTGTAAAAAGTAATCTACATATTCTGACACATTACTAGTCAACGA